GTTTCAACTTGGAATTATTAACTGGGATAAGCCAACACACTTGAGCATAGGTATGATGTATGTATGTATGTAATGCTTATCTATAGCTGTTTATATCAAGATTTTACAAAACCAAATATGACAATAGAGAAACGAAAACGTTTTAAAAAACATTGTAATTAAAATTCAGAGGGTCTGTGTTATTCTTTCATGAGTTCATAGTCCACATAAATTAATATGCATTTTTCTGTATGCTGTTTGTATATTAAATCATCTGTATGTGAGTATATGGAATAGTCCCTTTAGAAATATGATTTTTGGATAGCCAACAGTATATAATCTTTCCACCAGAGTCGATGAGCAAAGCCTGGATTTGAGAAAGCTAAGTTTTTCTATTACAAAACTGTGCACAATGCTTAATTACTCTTAAAACTGTGCTGCTTGGTGATTTATGATCTTGGTGATATAACATCATATTTAGCACATTCTGGGCAGCTAGGTAGCTCCTGTGAATAACCCTTGACCTATGGAAGGAAGATAGTGGAAATTAAGCTTGCCCACAGCAATGAAGCCAAGACTGTATCCATGTAGAGAGAGCTGTCATGTGCATGGTCTATAGAGGAGAGTGCATTGTATATATTGGTCAGTTCATTAGACTATCCATTTGGATAGTGCTGTGATGTGCATGGTCTATAGAGATGAATGCATGGTCTACAGAGATGAGTGCATGGTATATAGAGGTGAGTGCATGGTATATAGAGGTGAATGCATTGTATATAGCGGTGAGTGAATGGTCTATAGAGGTGAGTGCATGGTATATGGAGGTGAATGCATGGTCTATAGAGGTGAGTGAATGGTATATAGAGATGAATGCATGGTCTATAGAGGTGAATGCATGATATATAGAGGTGAATGCATGGTATATAGAGGTGAGTGAATGGGCTATAGAGATGAGTGCATGGTCTATAAAGGTGAATGCATGGTCTATAGAGATGAATGCATGGTATATAGAGGTGAGTGCATGGTATATTGAGGTGAATGCATGGTAAAAAGGAGGGGAGGAAGAAATGGACATAGCTCAATATTTACCAACACTTCAACATGTCTTTCTTCATGCCCCAATTTCTTAAAACTCTACTGAAAACAAAATCTTTTAAAGCTGTCGCCTCTAGTTGTATAAACATGAATGTGTTCATTTTTTATGCTTCTTTCTGTGTATGAATATCGGCATGGGCTTACTTCCTACGGAGCATGCACATATAGATAATACATATAGCTGTGTAAGCTTTAGTATGTTGGGAAACTGATCAGTATGACTGTTATGTACAATGTTTCAATTTGGATATGTCTCCTCCAAAACAGGACTTTTCACTGAAGCATAATTCATCCCTGATATGGACATATGGCTTTGAATCATAATGATCCAAGGACATAAATTGATTCATAAAAGAAATGTAAATTGCATCAGTTTTTAATTGGTTTTATTTGAATTAGGTTCAGTGCTCTGCCTTTTATAATCTAATTTTTAATTAGCGATGAAAGATAGATTTACTGTCATGCGTTCTATTTTTGCCCAAGAAACGTACTTCTAACTGATTTAATACCATTTTCGGGTTCAAAATTACTCATTGCTTATTCATTAACACTTTCCAAGATCCAATAAGCCGATGTATTTTATATCTTTAAAAATTATTCTCATTATCACTATCAGTCAATATTTGCCGAATGAAATTGTAATTTGAAGATGAAACACGCTGGGAAACACATTTTGAGTTTTCTAGGCAGCCCGTATTTCAAACACGCATTTGAAACATTTCGTCGACGAAAAGTTAAAACTACGTCATAATACTTATTCCAAGGAATAAAAGGGTTCATCAGATTAGTTAATAACCATTTATGTCATTCTTGGAGAACCCGGGTTTGTAAACAGTTGCCTATCCAACAACAGATATCACGACAAGAATGGTTAAATAAAAATTGTGCAATTCGCAGATTACATTTTCATATGCAGGACATTCAACGAATTTGCGTGAGTTCTCATCCATCACAGTTCTCCAAGTGTACTATTTTGTACAAATCGTGCATGTTTCATGCAATCGCACACCCTGACAACATCTCTTTTTAAGTACTTTACAATAAATTAATGAGCTTCGATTGATGTCTCTCTATGGTTGTGCCAATACATCCTGCTTGTCGCGCTGGGAATATGTTACATTGATTTATGATTGGTGGTTATTGTTGAACCTGAACCGGAACAAGCAATAAGTACCAATGAGAGTTCAACGTAACATATTTCACCGTGTTACACATCGATAGTGTAGCTTTCAAATTAACCAAAGTAGAGGAGATAGAATTCTACATATAAACTTCGTTAAAAGTGGTTATACAACGATGAGTAAAGTACTTCATTATACATGTGAAACATGTTTGGAATTTATCCTTTATGATGACCATCCAGCCGCGTTAAGATAATTAGCAGGGGCTGGGACGGGTTAAGCAACATGTTAATTAGTGGTAATTTGTAGACAATGAGTATCATTTGTATTGATTCATTGATATGAATAATGATTCATATCACCCCTATTACACACTATGCCAGCTTAATAGCAAGTGCCATCAGATAACATGCCAGCTCAATGTCAATTATCATTATACTATCTTGATGTGTTATCACTAAGATATACATGGGTTAGTTGACTTGATTAGTATGTTAGGAAATGCGATAACACACTATGCCAGCCTCATAGCAAGTGAGACTACCCAATAATATCATTCAAATATACAGAAACTAGTTGACATGATTATTATGGTAGGAAATTTGAGTTGACACTATGACAGCTTAATAACAACTATGATTACTCATTCTGCCAATTTAATATCACTAAGATGTACTTGGATAATTTGACATGATTAGTATATATGGAAATGTGATTACACACCTTGTCAGCTTTATTATTGCACACCTTGCAGCTTTATAGCACTTGATTACACGCTATGCGAGACAATCTCTCTTTATACATATTTTAATAGATTTGTGTATAACTAACTATTGGTTTATGCAGTCCTCAGTCACTCTTTCTTTATACATATGTTATTAGATCTGTTTATAACTATTGGTTTATGCAGTCCTCATTCTCAGTCACTCTTTGTTAAAAAATATTATAATAGATCTGTGTATAATAACTAACTATTGGTTTATGCAGTCCTCAGTCCCTCTTTCTTTATACATATTTCAATAGATGTGTGTATAACTAACTATTGGTTTATGCAGTCCTCAGTTCCTCTTTCTTTATACATATTTCAATAGATGTGTATATAACTAACTATTGGTTTATGCAGTCCTCAGTCACTTTTTTTTTATACATATGTTATTAGATCTGTTTATAACTAACTATTGGTTTATGTAGTCCTCATTCTCAGTCCCTCTTTCTTTATACATATTTTAAAAGATCTGTGTTTAACTAACTATTGGTTTATGCAGTCCTCACTCAGTCCATCTTTCTTTATACATATTTTAATAGATGTGTGTACAAATACTTGCTTTGCTGCCACACACATCATGTACAATAGTAAGTGTGGTTCAATACTAAAATAATTTCGAAATTAATGAAGTACAATTTGAAATGTATAATAATAATAATAATAATAATAATAATAATAATAATAATAATAATAATAATAACTTAATAATAGCATATTTATTAATAAAAAGCATAATAAAATATTAACTTCATTAGCTAAGGTGATTATTGTTTACTTATATTAAATATTACAGGTACATTGAAGAGGCGCGACAATTTTAAAGATAAAATACAAGAAAAGGTTTCAAGGTTTGTGTTTGAAATGTCATTACATGGTATATTTTGGACTAGATGACTTGTGCTATAATTACAATCTATTTCTTGTTACACTTGGAAGCAACTACAATATAAGTTACCAAACCAAGTGGTATTAAAAGTATTTGATCAATTTAGTCAAAAAAATGTGTTTCCTGTCTGCTGACTCCCAAATTTTGATTCCTGACCCTAATAAGTTTCCACCAGGTTAAAAAATAAAAATAAAAAAATAACAGTCAACAATTTCATATTTAAAAAATCCCAGATTGATTTATTATATCCAGTTTATCCCAGTAGTTGAAGTGTTTAGCACATTATATATATACTAATCCAATAGATAGATAGATAGATAGATAGATAGATAGATAGATAGATAGATAGATAGATATTCTTTTATTAAAGAAAATCTCTTCTTACCTACCCTAATTTTAAAACCAGTGCAATAGGAAACATTTTTCTTTTTCCTTTGGCCTTTGGCTATTATTCACTATGTTGGTATTTGTTATTTTTGAACCCAGCTTCATTAGTCCGATTTTCATCAGAACCTTGCCACCCAAGGTTAGACATTTGAACATTTATGTTGAACGTAGGGTCATAGTCGTTCAAGTTTGCTAGGGAGGCTAGTAAGCGATACCATACGCCAATACCAACTGGTGTAGGCGAATTCCAAGTTTTCGATAGGCAATGGACACTGAGCCTACATCCCAACACAAATCTCCAAATATCAAAATGGGATGGCTAGGATCAAAGGTAACTCAGACTACAGCTGCATATAAAGTACAAGAGATTCATGTAACCTTTCTTGTACCTAATGGATGCATGCCTTTTTATAATTAAATTTAACGTACCTTTAAATGTCGATTATTTATTTTATTTTCTAGTCAATACATATTCCTTGCATAATCATTATCGAAACCCTTCAAGAGATACACGCTATAACGCAATGTTGATGTACTCAACCACTTTTAGGAAAGGCTAAGCCATCCTGTAACCAGTCAAAACTGATTTTTACTTCGCGTGCTATATAGTATTAATGAAAGAGCAACATGCTGGCAAATAGGTTTTGCTTAAACTATGTGTGACTTCGCTTGTTGTGGTTGATGTTCTTGCATGTACATTTTTGAGATGAAAATGAAAAGAACTGAATAACCTAAACTTAAAAACTTAAAAATAAAGACTGGTCCGGTGGCATAGTGGTTAGAGCGTCCGCCTCAGGTGCGGGACGTCGCGGGTTCTTAAACCTCGGCAATGTCATACACAAGACATTAAAAAGTGGAACTACCAGCTGCCTTGCTTGGCGCTCAGCTTTACGAGCTTAGTGTTCGGACTGTTCGGTCTGGTGTCAGGATAATGTGACTGGGTGGAACATCATTCCACATGTCTGCGGCATAATGCCCCAGTGCTAGACATCACTATAAACTTTCACACTGCAGTCATCGTAGTGATATGACTGAATTTGTTTTTAAATCTAAATCACACACACACACATTAAAAATCAATAATGAACATACCCATTTAAAAGGGTATTCGTATTAAATTCCAGTGTTAGTGTTTTGATGCACTCTGTAATCAGACAAATGAACAGTTTTATTTAAAAAATGATTTTTAAAAAATGAAATGTTTGTCTTCATAAATAAAGTTATAAATGTGTTGTTGATGTCAATGAATTAAACTTATATTACTTGCCTTGATGATGTGCTTCGTGCACTGTGATCACATTACTCCTCGCTGTCACATACAGAATTCCACTAGCTATCATGTACATAATTCCAGGGTCCCAGAAAATGGCGAAAGGATGAAGTGGTATCCCCTCTGTGTAAATTGCTACTAAGTCACATTTATCTGTCAGATGGTGAATGGAATTGGAACCCTTGTCACACAGAAATAAAAGTCCATTGCCATCAACAGTTATTCCAAATGGGACCAGTCCCTCAGGTTTGTATGTTAATTTCGGTTGACTTGGATTCAGTAAATTAAATGCGTATACTCCTCTATCTTCAGGAGATTTAGCATAACAAGAGATATAAACCATGTTGTCTTTTGTCGTCAAGAAACTAAATTTCCCTCGACAGACTTTTTGTAAATTATCAAGTCTTCCATCTTGTAAAGACAAAACACACCAACATATCGTGTTGTCTTTGACACCACTAACAACCACTCCATCCCTGGATGCAGCAACTCCGTCAAAGCGATCAAATGATGGTCGTAAATCAAATGTTGTACCCTTAGAAATGAGACCCGAGTCCGATACCGACATGACTATTATGGTTCCGTTATTCATAGCCACACATACGTCCGTGTCGTCAATACAACACACGCCATATGGAATTGACTCCAGTCTGTCTGACGAAGACAGCAACATGCCGTCATGGCGTCTGTATACAAAGACTTTATACGACTTGAAGTCTGTGATTACCAGCTTGTCTCCGATCACAACGACACCCAAAGGGTCAAGGTCGCCTGTAAATGAAAATGAAATTGATGAAAATGAAAATGATATAAACATAAATACTGACATGTATAATTCTATTAAAATGCAAACAAAAACTTATATACATCAATATATATTGAAATTATGACTTTATATTATTGTCTATTTTTCTAACCTTTCACCTCCACAATCATGCGTAAAAATGGATACTGCACGACTCGTCGTCTGTCATCATCAGTATCTTAGCAGACAGAGCAATGCATATGTGGAGACACAACAATGCATATGTGGAGACACAACAATGCATATATGGAGACACAGCAATGCATATGTGGAGACAAAGCAATGCATATGTGGATACACAACAATGCATATGTGGAGACAAAGCAATGCATATGTGGATATACAGCAATCCATATGTGGAGACACAACAATGCATATATGGAGACACACCAATGCATATGTGGAGACATAGCAATGCATATGTGGAGACCCAACAATGCATATGTGGAGACAACAATGCATATGTGGAGACACAACAATGCATATGCGGAGACACAACAATGCATATGTTAAGACAAAACAATGCATATGTGGATACACAGCAATGCGTATGTGGAGACACAACAATGCATATGTGGAGACACAACAATGCATATGTGGAGACACAGCAATGCATATGTGGATACACAGCAATGCATATGTGGAGACACAGCAAAGCATATGTGGAGACACAACAATGCATATGTGGAGACACAACAATGCATATGTGGAGACAGCAATGCATATGTGGAGACACAACAATGCATATGTGGAGACACAGCAATACATATGTGGAGACACAACAATGCATATGTGGAGACACAGCAAAGCATATGTGGAGACAACAATGCATATGTGGAGACACAACAAAGCATATGCGGAGACACAACAATGCATATGTGGAGACACAACAATGCATATGCAGAGACACAACAATGCATATGTGGAGACACAACAATGCATATGTGGAGACACAGCAAAGCATATGTGGAGACACAACAATGCATATGTGGAGACACAACAATGCATATGTGGATACACAGCAATGCATATGTGGAGACACAACAATGCATATGTGGATACACAGCAATGCATATGTGGAGACACAACAATGCATATGTGGAGACACAACAATGCATATATGGAGACACAGCAATGCATATGTGGAGACAAAGCAATGCATATGTGGATACACAACAATGCATATGTGGAGACAAAGCAATGCATATGTGGATATACAGCAATCCATATGTGGAGACACAACAATGCATATATGGAGACACACCAATGCATATGTGGAGACATAGCAATGCATATGTGGAGACCCAACAATGCATATGTGGAGACAACAATGCATATGTGGAGACACAACAATGCATATGCGGAGACACAACAATGCATATGTTAAGACACAACAATGCATATGTGGATACACAGCAATGCGTATGTGGAGACACAACAATGCATATGTGGAGACACAACAATGCATATGTGGAGACACAGCAATGCATATGTGGATACACAGCAATGCATATGTGGAGACACAGCAAAGCATATGTGGAGACACAACAATGCATATGTGGAGACACAACAATGCATATGTGGAGACAGCAATGCATATGTGGAGACACAACAATGCATATGTGGAGACACAGCAATACATATGTGGAGACACAACAATGCAAATGTGGAGACACAGCAAAGCATATGTGGAGACAACAATGCATATGTGGAGACACAACAAAGCATATGCGGAGACACAACAATGCATATGTGGAGACACAACAATGCATATGCAGAGACACAACAATGCATATGTGGAGACACAACAATGCATATGTGGAGACACAGCAAAGCATATGTGGAGACACAACAATGCATATGTGGAGACACAACAATGCATATGTGGATACACAGCAATGCATATGTGGAGACACAACAATGCATATGTGGATACACAGCAATGCATATGTGGAGACACAACAATGCATATGTGGAGACACAACAATGCATATGTGGAGACACAACAATGCATATGTGGAGACACAACAATGCATATGTGGATACACAACAATGCATATGTGGATACACAGCAATGCAAATGACAGCGATGCATATGTGCAGACACAGCAATGCATATGTAGAGACAAAGCAATGCATATGTGGAGACACAACAATGCATATGTGGAGACACAACAATGCATATGTTGAGACAGCAAAGCATATGTAGAGACATAGCAATGCATATGTTGATACACAACAATGCATATGTGGAGACTCAACAATGCATATGTCGAGACACAACAATGCATATGTGGGGACACAACAATGCATATGTGGAGACACAACAATGCATATGTGGATACACAACAATGCATATGTGGATACACAACAATGCATATGTGGAGAAACAACAATGCATATGTGGAGATACAACAATGCATATGTGGGGACACAGCATTGTATATGTGGAGACACAACAATGCATATGTGGAGACACAGCAATGCATATGTGGAGACACAACAATGCATATGTTGAGACACAACGATGCATATGTGGAGACACACCAATGCATATGTGGAGACACAACAATGCATATGTGGATACACAGCAATGCATATGTGGATACACAACAATGCATATGTGGATACACAACAATGCATATGTGGAGACACAACAATGTATATGTTGAGACACAACAATGCATATGTGGAGACACAGCAATGCATATGTGGAAACACAGCAATGCATATGTGGAGACACAACAATTCATATGTTAAGACACAACAATGCATATGTGGAGACACACCAATGCATATGTGGAGACACAACAATGCATATGTGGAGACACAGCAATGCATATGTGGAGACACAGAAATGCATATGTAGAGACACAACAATGCATATGTGGAGACACAACAATGCATATATGGAGTCACAACAATGCATATGTGGAGACACAACAATGCATATGTGGAGACACAACAATGCATATGTTGAGACACAGCAATGAATATGTGGAGACACAACAATGAATATGTGGAGACACAACAATGCATATGTGGAGACACAAAAATGGGTATGTGGAGACACAACAATGCATATGTGGAGACAACAATGCATATGTGGAGACACAACAATGCATATGTGGAGACACAGCAATGCATATGTGGAGACAACAATGCATATGTGGAGACACAACAATGCATATGTGGAGGCACAACAATGCATATGTGGAGACACAACAATGCATATGTGAAGACACAGCAATGAATATGTGGAGACACAACAATGAATATGTGGAGACACAACAATGCATACCTGGAGACACAACAATGCATATGTGGAGACATAACAATGCATATGTGGAGACACAACAATGCATATATGGAGACACAGCAATGCATATGTGGAGACACAACAATGCATATGTGGAGACTCACCAATGCATATGTGGAGATACAGCAATGCATATGTGGAGACCCAACAATGCATATGTTGAGACACAGCAATGAATATGTGGAGACACAGCAATGCATATGTGGAGACACAGCAATGCATATGTGGAGACACATCAATGCATATGTGGAGACACAACAATGCATATGTGTAGACACAACAATGCACATGTGGAGACACAGCAATGCATATGTGGAGACAGAACAATGCATATGTGGAGATGATGGATTTGCGGTTATTGTTTACCTTGGAAAACGTCAATATCTATCATAACATCTTAGTCTTTATGTTGTTATTTTATTATTACAAGATAGATATACA